ATTCGTGTGTGTGGGTGTATAAACGGTGTGTTCTAGGATACTTTGATGGTTTCCAACTAGCTTGACTAATGTTCAGGCTCGAGCAAAGGCTCGGTGACAAAATCACGGAAGCGAAGAAGTTGCAGCTGGGACAAGTGAGACAGTTGCGGCGAAATCCGTTTATTTGTTCGGCCAAAATGTTGTTCTAAGGGCCGTGGAATCTTTGGGATTGGAAACGCGGGCAAGGACTGAATGGGGTCTATCGGGGTATGTGATCCAGCTGTTTACACAGTAGTATTTTTTTCTGGAAGGAACCTCTTGCCGAAAAAACCAGCAGCGACTCCTGCTGGCAAAGCTGCTTCCAAAGCGCCTAAGAAGAATCCTGCGGTTGTAGTTAAGGCGACGCCTCCTAAAAGGAGTGCCACTAGGGATCAGAAAGAGGCTGCGCCCTCGAAGAAGCCAAAGAAGGGCTGAGCTCTCTGCGCATACCGCGCTTGGCTTTGCTAGTTTCAACGTTGGGGGCTCTGGGTGAGTACCGTTTTCTCTTCTTGAATACACCTGGAGTAGGATTTTTCTATCCTTTGTGGACTGACTGCTGCCCAGCCCTTTTTCCAACGCAATCAAGTGAAGTGCTTGCAAGGACGTTGCTGCTTCCGGGGTACTCAAGTGGCAAAAGTGGTGTGCGAATCAAGAAATTTATCTGTGCAACCTCCCGCAAGTGATCAAGCACGCATTTGTAAGATCTTAGCTCACCCTTGACCATGCCAGGTTCGGACGAACGACCCCAGGAAGCTGGACATCTTATGCGTCATCTTGCCGAAATGGTTGGTGACGGAGCACCCTTTACAGCATTAATTTTACTGAATGACGGCAAGCAAATTTCCTGCTTTTCAAAGATGAGCACGCTACCCAACTCGTCCAAGCCCCACTACCAAAACATCAAAACAAACCAAAGCCCCATACAATCTATACTTAGCCTTGGATAGAAATTTCAACCTCCGACACCGAAGCCTCAAACCCTCTCGTAGCCTCCACTTACGCAAGCCCCATACCGCCCAAATAAGCCCCCATAACACTTCCGTAACCAAGGCATCATGTGCAGAGGTGGTTCGTATATCGCAAGCAGCTCGCGAAGATTCCTTAGTGTGCGACGTTGCGGCTGATGCTTCCCACATGAGGGAGCAGGATGCAGAGAAAGCAGCTCACGAGTTGTTCAGGAAGCATGGCTTAAGTCTGGATGTGCCGATATCCTGGGTGAGGATACAGCTGCCATCAGAGCAAGTTGATGTTCCATTTCTGAAGCCTTCAGATTTCCTGGTTCGATTAGTGCAAGAAGATCATAGCAATTTGCTATGGGCAGGCGGGAAATGCGAGGATCGATGCCGGGCTTTTTGGCGCGCTTACTTCCACTTTCAACCAACACATGAGGTTTACAAGCATGTCTCAAGTGATGAACTGGAAACTGTTGTGCCAGTAATGCTACACGGAGATGAAGGCTCTGGTAGCAAAAAACAACCGATATCCATAGTATCCTGGCAAACCCCGTGGGGCCACCCACACCCAGCTCGCAAGCGGGCAAAGCGGAAACACCTAAATCAATGCGGCCAATGCGGCGCGAGCTCATGGAGCCCTTGCTGCAGCATGCCCACCTCGCCAATGCCAAGTGATGACATGCGTCAAAAGTTGAAGCTTGAAATTGAGGACATCCATGAGCTAGAGACGCAGTGGCCTTCCGTGTCTGGTCATTCTTATTTATCCCGGCACCTCATCTTTGCCTTGCCTACCTACATGGTGAACAAGGGTCCTCAGGTGCTTCGGGAGATGTTGGCTGCAACTTCTGATGACATGGCAAAATTATTCTACGATGGGATTACCATACGTGGTGCGGTCTTTCATGTCGCCTTGATTGCTCTGAAAGGCGATGCAAAATGGCACGTGGCCACTGGAAATTTCTTTCGCTCCTACTTGCACCTAGGATCAGTTAATGATCATGAAGTATGCCCGCATGATCTGGCGGGCAACGCTGCGCACCCGTTCGAAGACTGCACCAATGATGCTACATGGGTTAGCACCCTCCACCAGTCAATCCCATGGACTGAACCAGGGCCCTTCGAGAGAATACCATTTGATTGTACCAGGCCATCTGCCAAGTACTCTGGAGATCCTCTGCACATTTTCAAAATAGGATTGGGCAGAGACCTAGTCGGCTCTGTGCTGGTTCTACTTGCTCGCTTTTATGGTGCATGGGACTGGCCGAACGACAAGACTGGGCTTTGGTCACGAATGTCTCGCGCACATTCCAGGTTTCGATTAAGGTGCCAGGCCGAAGGTGAGGTTCCACACTTTAAGCTTTTTTCCAAGGACTTCTTACACATGAACCTGGTGACCGATTATCCGTATACAGGTAGCAAAGGAGCCGACACCATGCTTCTCATCAGATGGCTATGTGTGGAAATCAAATTACTGTTGCGCCAAGAGCCTCCTGTAACAAAGCGGCAGGATCTGTTGCAGGTGGCGTTGCAGGTTTGTGAGGCTTCCAGAATGTTTTTTCGTACTCTGTACTCTCATGGGTTGTGGCTGGGGCGAGATTGCATGGTAACTGTCAGGGACAATGTGCTGGTAGTGACTCGTGGGTACAGCTACATGGCACGCATCTGCATCGAGGAGAAGTTTCCTGCTTTCGCCCTCAAAACGACGCTGCATATGTTCCATCACTATGCGGTCAGCATTGACCATTGTCTGCAAAGAGGAAGTTTCTGCTATCCCAACATATTGTTGACCGACTGCTGTACTTGTGAAGACTTTATTGGCAGAACAGCCCGCGTGTCCAGATCGACTCATGCCCGTACAAGTTCACTTAGGTGTATCCAACGGCATTTGCTCAAGGTAAAGGCCGTCATTCGAAAGTCCAAGACAGACAGACCTGGCCTCATCAGGCGTGCAACTGCTTTTGGCAGGCGGCGCGCATGACAAAAGCAGCACGAACCATATTGCATCATCTGTGTGATGACGATGTGTTCTAGAGTTCAATCTTATCAGCATTTCATGTTGATCGGTCTGTTCATTTCATCCACTCATGTGCAACATGATCTTCAGAGCCTTCATGGCCAGCTGCTTCTGGACTGCATTTGTGGCTACTTTCCTTTGGGGTGGCTACTTTTCTGGTTTAGGGCTTGTTTAACCTTTTGTGGCTACTTTTGGGTGCTTTTGGACTTGTGGCTACTTTATCGCGCACACACAGGGTC